GTGAAAATCAGAATTCTAACACCCAGTCACTAAATACAATTATACAAATATGTAACTATGAAGTCTGCAGCGCTCCATTGAACTTTACTTCACTTGAAGTCTTCTATTAAACCTGAAGTATTAAAACACATATACTAATAACTAACTTAAAAGAACTAGATCTGAAATATTTCAGTCACTATGATATTTTCTTTAACCAAACATATCTAGATAGTTATAGTCACTGCAACAACAGTCACTCAATTCATGCTCTCTATCATTATAGTCAATGAACTTAAATGATAAAAACAAGACTCTCAACTAGCCATAGTTGGATACTCTCTTGCTAACCGATCCATAGAATTCATTGTTTCTGCATTATTTGAGGTCATAATGAAGTACTTTTGGCGCCTAAATGCAGACCTCACCCATTTTTTCTTCCAATCTCATACAAGTAAGTTCTTATTCTCGGATCTTCGGCATCCAATAATCCCAACAAGTATTCACAAAGCTTATCAGTCGGTGCCCTAGCAGCTGCATTAAATAGTTCTGTCACCCGTTTTCTTTTCCCACGAAATTTAGTTGTGATATTTCTCAAAATATGTTGCACACAATATCCATGATCTGCATATGGATACACAAATATCTTGTTGGTCACCAATAGGTTCTTTCAATTTTGTGAAGAACTAATTCCACGACTCATTATTCTCCCAAGGATAAAGGGTCAAATAGGCCCATGAACTAGCTTAAAGTGTTCAATTAGTCCCTTATATAAGAGGTTCAGCCCGGCCATCGCCAATTGGGGAGGTTCCCGGGGGAATTTTTTGATGAAATTTTTTGAGCATCTTCTTCATTAAATCTAGTTTACCCATATCAAATTTGAGCTAAAAAATCAACCGGGAAGGCAGTCAAATGATTTTTTGAAGATAACTGTGCAATTAAACATTGTGGTACATTTCGGAAAATCATTTGACTGCCTTCCCGATTTAATTTTTAGCTGAAATTTGATATGGATAAACTAGACTTAATGAAGAAGATTCTCAAAAAAATTCATCAAAAAATTCCACCGGGAACCTCCCCAATTGGCGACGGCCGGGATGAACCACCTATATAAGGGGCTAATTGAACACTTTAAGCTAATTCAAGGGCCTATTTGACCCTTTAGCCTTCTCCCAATCACACACTCCAAAACCAATGGGAAAAATCTGTCTATTCACATGTAGAGTACACGCTTTCAAAAGTGTGCCCCTGAATGTTGCTTTCATGAAAGACCTGTCAACAATTACGACTGGCCTGCACCACTTCCATCCTTGCCGCCAAGCACTAAGTGAAATGAAGAAATATTTGAAATTATGTGCATTGTCTGTCTCCAGGCCTATATGGGATCCTAGGTTCTTTTTGTCGAGCGCGTAGCCGAGACTAGGGAGCTTCATATAAGACTAAAAAACACTACCAGTTAATTCCCTCAACGCACACTCCTTCGCTCTCCATGCTTTTTGTAATTCATCTTCACTCCCAACCTTCTTTTCAAGTCTGACATTATACTTTTGGCTTGATAAGGATTTCGTGACGCATCCAAATACTCATGCTTACCTAACATACCTATAATGGATGCACTTGCTTGCCGACTACCACTTAACCGATGGTCGATTGAGCAAGTATGCACATTATCAAACCCGTTAAAAAATTATTAATATTTATCAAACACAATAACAACACAAACAAATGATTTAAACATATGTGGTAAAAGATCCAGTTCAGCTCACTCATGCATGTATTTACTTTACTTATGTTCATCTAACAACACAGTTCTCTATAAAACTATCTCAAACTACGGTTACTACATACTATAAATAACTGTTCTTTGACACATGAAGCTGATATTATTATTTAACTCAGGAGTTTGTGTAGAATAACATTCACCTTACCTTAGCTTTTTACTTGGAAGCAATTTGTATCTTTCACCTTAATCCCCCGCACTGCCCACTTGCATTTGCGATCGAAACACACAACGTGCAATACTGCCGGGTGAGACGTTTTTGTTCTGAATTGGAACTTATTTTCTATTGCATACATTTGGAGCGTGTCCTTAAAGTGTTGTTTGCTTGGATACATTGCATCAATGTGCAGTTTTGAACCCAACAAATCAGCTGATATGTGTTCCCGGCCATGAATCATCTTCAGTACTCAGTGGAAGCTCATCACTAATCATACTTGTCAATTCCTTGATCGGTGTTACTTGAGAAGAGTTATGCACATCTCCGGTAATAGTCCCTCCATTCCCACATTCCTACAGTTCACTATCCCTGCCTTGAAGTTCTACGCACATCGGAAATGCTTCTATTTTATCTCTTACGCTAACTTTCAATTGCAAATAAAAACTAAGACTGACAATGTTCTCTATAAATGTTGGAGTGAATGTAGCATTGATCAAGTACGACTGTACGAGATACGCATAATTTGAACCTCCTCATTCACACTCAACAAATCCCTCACCATCATGCCATGTGTTGATCTGGTTCTAAATTCTTTATTTTCATTCCACCCATCTCCTATCAATACACTCACCAACAATCTGTCCATCTCCCTGAGGAAAAAATACATAATGCTTTCATGTTTGATTTCCTTGTAAATTATTCATCACAATTATCAATACATCTTCTTACCATTTAAGCAATGACAATTTCATAGTAACAATGCCTAACAAAATACTTATTACAACTTCATAAAGTTCCTGAAACTGTCTACCACAAATATGACTCATGTGAATTCCTTCCATCAATACTCAACAAATGGAAAGTAATAATTTAGGATTAGTATCACAATCAGGCAATGCTAACACATTTATAGGATTAAAAAGAATTATAAAATCATCAATTTCACTGTCAACACATTTTTGCATCAATTGTGTAAATAATGAGTTAATACTTTTGGGTCATAAAATGGGTGTACAAAGTGTTAATTTTTTTGGGTAAAATTTTCAAAATGGCTGGATGTCTGATTCACCTACAATAACATTTCCACGCTCATTTTATAACATACTGAGAATCAGTGTTAATCAATATAAAAATCTGTAATCATGAACCACCAAACACAGAACACAAGTTACTTCAATTAGTTACTTTCACCCCATTTACACTTCACACTAATGTGAGTTACTTTATAACATACTCCTTCACTTAATTCACTTACATGTCCATTACTACACAAAAGTTACTCATTGAAGGTTACTATTACCCAACGGTAATCACTACTAAAAGTATAACAAGTTAAATTTACGGTAACATTTTGGTTAAAAAAAACTCATAATATAATGAACGAGTTTATTCATGACCTCAAAATGTTTTCAATTCCTTATTTTCATACTCCGTATATGTGCTCGCTAAAAAATAATTTGTTTGCATATGCGTGTGAGCATGGATATTACTCTGTATTACAATATCCATGTTTTATGGTAACTATCAGCGCATCACTTATTTTCACCCCCATTTCTTGCCCAAAAAACAAAGAAAGGTTGACACACACACTCAATTATTATCATGTTTCTGTCAACCTTAATAGAGAATTGTTCACATGTTAAAATATCCAGAAAAAATCAAAGTTACCTTCACAATTTCTTCCTCCTTTTGTTAGAAGTCACTATCGGTGAAGTGCCCTCAGTTGGATTGTCTTCCACTTGAGTACGTTTTTACAAAACCATAGCTGGTTCCCTTTACGGCTCATTCCCTGAAGTTCAGCTTTAATATTTGTTAGGGAAAGTTCTCGAAATAGGACTAAAACAGTTTGAAAATTCCAAAATAGGACTGTCATATTACTGCCAAGATTGGAAAATACTGCCATGTTTGAAGTCTGGTATTGCCAAAACATGACAGTAATTAGTCCTATTTTGGGAATAAAAATATGGTAGTCCTATTTTGGAATTTTCAAATCATTTTAGTCTTATTTCGGGTAATATTCTCATTGTTATCATCTGTAAGACTTCATAAGGTCAGGTATGTACTTTCATCACCCTAATTAATGGTAGCCGATGGTTTTTTTAGATGCTAGTCACTTTTTTGTCCTTCTAATCAGTAGTAGTAATATTTAGGGGTGGGGAAAAATACCGAAATTTTGGTATACCGGACTTACCATATCGAAAAATACCGAATTTACCGAAATGGTTGGTATACCGACACTTTCGGTACGGTATGATAACGTACCGAATTACTTCAGTATGGTATTGGTATATATTTTGAAAATAATCGGTATACCGGTATACCGTCATACCGTAATTCCAAGCCAATAATTTCTTTAAAATTATAAAAATAACTAGAAACACAACATTAATTTAAGGATAAATGACTTTATATCTATGTTTTTTGAATTATTTATACTTTTTGTTGCCAAGCGGTGTTTTTTTAATTATATTTATGTTGTTTAAATTATTTTAGCAGAATGTGATGTTATCTTCATATATTATGTGTCGAAATATCTAAATATATATATAATATTTTCTTTTCAAAGTTGAATAGAACACCAATAGGTTATCATTGGTAATTTACAATTAATTTCATTAATGATTTTAGTATATCATTATTAACACATATTTTCTATATTTTATTTGACATATAATAATTTGTTATGTTAAATCATGATAATTTACCGATACCGTACCTTACCGTAATTTCGGTATACCGAAATTTCGGTATGGTAACGGTATGTATTTTTGCATACCGAAAATTTACGGTATGGTAAAGGTATGAGCTAAAATATTCGGTATACCGTACCAAACGACCCCTAGTAATATTTATGTAAAAAACTCTATTTTTTTACTTAAAAGAAGTAGCAAAGATAACCAAAGATCTAAACAAACAACAAATATTAAACTATGTGATTGGTGTTTGTTCAGAGGAGACAGAAATGAGCAGAACCGCAAATTAATAGAATTAGGAAGAGAGTCTTTTCCTTCAAAATTAGGAAAATTGAGACCGCTCACACGTGTTCGGGTCGGGCTAGGGTCAGTTCCTAAATTTCAGTTCAGTCCCCCCCAATGGGCCTTCGTTTCATCTTCTCCGGTTTCCCATCGCCTTCCACTCCCATGAAAGGCAATTTCCGGTGATGATGAGATTGGCGGCGGCTGCCACGTCCACCATCAAGCCGCCACATCCCCTTTCATTTCTGTCAGGTAAACCATTGTCATTTTCGATTGCTTCGTCACCTATTCTCGAGGACCCTGCTACTCCCAAGGAGCTCTATTCTCAGCTCCTCTCTCTCCTGTCCCTCCCGAATTGGCAACAAAGCCATTCTCTCAAGAGACTATTACCTTCTCTGTCCCCTTCTCATATCTCCTCTTTTATCTCTAGAAACCAGTCTCTCGATCCACGTACTGCTGTTTCCTTCTTCGACTATCTCTCTCGTGTCCCTTCATTCAAGCTTGATGTGCAGTGCTATTTGTCACTCCTTCACATTCTCATACCCCGTAAGCTGTTTCCCGCCGCCGATCGAATACGCCTTTTGATGATTAAATCCTGCCAAAGCCCGGATGAAGCGAAATATGCCGTTAGTTTGTTTCTGGGTATGCATAATATCGATGATCATGATGATGGTGGCGGCAGTAGTCTAAAATTCAAATTTAAGCTCAATGTTAGGTCTTGTAACACGATGTTGATGTCTTTGTCGAGGTTTCTGCTGATTGAGGATATGAAATGCTTGTATCTGGAGATGTTGAGGGTTAAGATTTCACCTAACATATACACTTTTAATACTATGATAAACGGGTACTGCAAACTGGGCAATGTGACTGAAGCTGAGATGTACATGAGTAAGATCTGTCAAGCTGGATTGAGTCCAGATGCTCACACATACACTTCGTTCATCTTAGGTTATTGCAGGAAAATGGATATAAGCAGTGCACGTAAGGTATTCGAGGAAATGCCTCAGAAGAGTTGTCCAAGGAGCCATGTTACCTATAACATTTTGATGCATGGGTTGTGTGAAGCAGGAAAGGTAGATGATGCTTTGAAGCTGTTTTCCCAAATGGGGGTTGATCATTGTTGTCCAAATGTCCGGAGCTATACAATTTTGATTGATGCATTGTGTGAATTGAATAGGGAAGTGGAGGCGCTGAATCTGTTTGATGAGATGGTGGAGAAAGGTTGCCAACCAAATGTCCACACTTACACTGTTCTCATTAATGGTATGTGTAAAGGAAAGAAGCTTGTTGAAGCAAGAGGGTTATTAGATGAGATGGGGAAAAGGGGTCAAGCTCCTAATGTGGTAACTTACAATGCTTTGATTGATGGGTACTGTAAAGTGCAAAATGTTGATTCTGCAATGGAGATATTCAACTTGATGGTGTTAAATAAGTGTATGCCAAATGTGCGCACGTATAATGAGTTGATATCTGGATTTTGTCTGGTGAAAAAGGTGCACAAAGCAATGGGGCTACTTGATAAAATGCTTGAACAGAAGCTCTCTCCATCTGTTGTCACATACAATCTGTTGGTCCATGGACAATGTAGTGAGGGCCACATAGATAGCGCTCTCAGATTGCTTACGTTGATGGGTGAGAGTGATGTGGCTCCAAATGAGCAGACCTATGGTCCTGTGATCAATGCATTATGTGAAAAAGGCTGTGTTAAACATGCTCGTTCCATATTTGACTCCTTGAAGGATAAGGGTGTAGAAGCAAATGATGTGATATACACCTCTTTAATTAATGGTTATTGTAGAGTAGAAAATCTTGATGTTGCCCTAACTTTGTTCAAAAGGATGATTGATGAGCAATTCATTCCAAATTCAAGCACCTATAATGTAATACTTGGTGCTTTATGCCAAAAAAATAAGCTCCAGGAAGCCACTAAGTTGTTGGAAAGTATGGAAAAAAGAGGAGTCAAACCCACTGTAGTTACATACAGTATTTTGATTGAGAAAATGCTAAAAGATAATGATTTTTGCGGTGCTTATAGGGTTCTTGATTTAATGGTGTCCTTGGGATCTAAACCTGATGTCTGCACTTACACTTCATTTCTTGTGGCATATTGCAACCAAGGGAAGTTGGAAGAAGCTGAAAAATTGATGGCGAAAATGATAAAGGACGGGGTAACGCCAGATTTGATGACGTGTACAGCATTAATGGATGGGTATGGACGTTTGAGATTACTAGATCACTCCTTTCGAACTTTTAAATCTATGGTTGGTGCTGGATGTAAACCTTCTCTGTATACCTACTCAGTTTTAATCAAGCATTTGTTACATGAAAATCGAATAGCAAAATGTTTCAATAGGTTTGATGTTGGATCTATAAACATTGCGGATGTGTGGAAAATAACGGATTTTGTAACTGTTGTCGAATTGTTTGAAAAAATGGTGAAACATGGCTGCCCTCCTGACACAAATGCGTATAGTACACTGATTTATGGACTTTGTAGAGAAGGACGCTTTGAAGAAGCTATGATGCTTGTTGATCATATGAAAGATTGCGGAATGTCTCCTGATGAAGATATCTATAACACACTGATAAGATGTTGCTGCAAGTTAAAAAGGTATGATGATGCAGCAAATTTGGTTGATACAATGGTTATGCATGGTTATTTACCACATTTTGAGGCCTACAAATTCCTTGTATGTGGACTCTATGAAGAAGGACGTAAGGGAAGGGCTGAGGAAGCTTTCTTAAAGCTCCTTAACTGTGGTTATAATAATGATGAAGTTGCATGGAAACTGTTAATTGATGGCTTACTTAAGAGAGGGCTTTCTGATAGATGCTCCGAGGGTTTGGGTATCATGGAAAAAAACGGTAACCTGATTCATCCTCAAACATATACTATGCTGATAGAAGGACTTATTCAAACAGAAGGGCGTGCAGAAGAATAGTAATGTGCTCAATTGAGAATCTATGGAGCACCTTCATGCATTGATTCTTACTTCTGCAATGATTTGTATGCAGTTTCCATGCAAATTAAGTAAGCCGTCAATTAACAGTTTCCATGCAACTTCAGAGAGGGCTTTCTGATAGATGCTCCAGCCGTCAGTCATTATTAATGTACTAGAAACATCATTTGCTTCAGATAACAGTGGGGTGCTGGTTTTAATAGTCAAGGAGCTGGTTCATGCTATGCAATACTTGTTGGATATTGATTATGAACCCAATGAAGATAATCTTGAAAGGTTATGGGGAACAGTGATATCGTTTACAACATTTAGCTACTCTTTGGTGGGTGTGCCTGATCAGGATAAGTTATCCGTGGAGATACAAAATCTGGGATGTAAAGTGGTTCACCTCTATAGCGAACTGAGACAGGTTTGTGAGTTTCTTCTTTTCAGCTCGTCACTTGAATATTCCACATCTCGAATAGTAAAAACATCATAGGGCCTCTTTGGTTAGATAGAGTTATGTGTGTCTATTTGATTGTTTAAATCCAAATCCATTTCTTAAGTTAGAAATCACACTGATTTACTTTTTAGTAGATTTTGAAAACCTGTGTTTTCCAGACCCCCCCCCCCCCCACCCACAAATAAAATAAAATAAATAGAAGGATTATCCAAGCAAACAACTTGATATTCATCCCTTTACTAAACACAGCCCCCCTTTTGTTAACATGTGACTTTTTTTTCTGATCGTCAAACCGAAAACTTTATATTAAATCAATAAGTCATTAGCCAATTGGCTAGAAATACAAGAAGGCGCATAATCATAATCAACTACTTGATCTGAGATGTGAACATGTGACTTAGCTAAAGCGTGGGCCACATGATTCGCACATCTTTTACAAAAAGAGATTTTAAAAAGACTCTTTGTCGCTAACAAACTACGGTTGTCGTCAATAATAAGGTGAGTGTAACATGATCCTTCCTATTTCTTTAAGCTCTGCACTGTAAGTGCATCCGTCTCTATTTCCACCCGTGTCCAGTCCGCCTCGATAGCTCCCATAATAGCATCCCGGATCCCCATCGCTTCCGTCTCTTCTGCTGTCCACCCGGCTTTGCACCCTACCCCTCGGGCCTTAACCACGGATCCCTCCTCGTTCCTAGCCACCCAACCCCAAGCACGGGTACCCCCAGTTTCATCAACCGCCCCATCAACATTTATTTTTATTACCCCCGGCATAGGTCTTTCCCATTTTGCAGCCCCCTCCCCTGCCGAGGCAGCCCCCCTATTCGTTGGAACATTCTGGGCATCTCGCCAGGCCCCAAGTACACTATCCGCCACTTGTACCACCGTAGTGACTTGGAAAGTAGGAAATGCATTAAGTTTTAACCATAGTTGTTACGGCGGGATTTTGCGGCGTGGCGCCTTTGGACTGCCATACCGCCATGGCGATATGGCGCCCGTCGTGGCGGAGTCGCGGCGATAAGTCGACATATAGACTAATAAATTCATAATAAGTTTTACATACTAAAAAGCCTACATGTAACACTTATAGCCAACACTACTAATGAACTAAATCAAGTAATAAAATATTAAAATAATTTAACTGAAATGTCACTAACTATTAAAAAAACATTAAATGTAAGACAACACAATCACACAATATGAATTTCAGCATAAATTCAAGACACCAAAAACATCATGAAATATAAAATAAAAAGAGAACTGAGTTTTTTCTTTAAATTTTGAATCAAACTGTACAAAGTAAATACAACAAAAAAGCTAAACACTAAACGGAGTTCAACACAACAACTGTACACAACTAAACAATTAATATTGGAGTAAAGGGGTGGAAATTATAAAAACAAAACTAAACACTAAACAGTAACCGACTCAAAAAATACAACAAATACGTGAACAAAACAACATAAAAAAGGGGCTAAACTAGTGGAACGTGCAGACGACTGCAGACATGAGTGAGTGACGACAGATTAGAACTATAGAGAGCGACGGAGATTTCTGATTAGAACTAGTGGAGTGTGCGGACGACTGCATACGACGGACTGAAGAATGAAGCATGCGTATGTCGTCGATGCAGATAGGTTTGTTTGTTAATTTTATTTTGGGCCTCTTTGAAATTCAGTTGGGTTTGGGCCTGTTCCAAATGAAATAATTTTACGCCTTGGGTCGTCGATTAGGCGTTTTTGGCGTCTGCCGACGACACAGCGACGAATCTTGGACGCCAAAGGTTTTATGGCGAGTCGAGCTCCCATGGCGATCTTCACTTCGCGCCACGACGATATGTCGACGATGTGGCGACGATATATCGACGCCATAACAACTATGGTTTTAACAGTGCATAAGTGAAAGCTGAAATTCACCCAATATATACAACTTAGAGAGTTAGAGTGAATCAAATACGGTAGGTACTATGGAGGAAAGGATTATTAAATTACATCTTGATTTTTGTGTTTTGAAAAATTATTGCAGGTTGACTCGTACATTTTTTATGGGTGTTTTTTCGCCTTTTAATGGCATAGTTTTGAGATCCTCACTTTACATCTGCTACCATTGTAGGTGAATACACCCATCTTTTCACTATGCAAAGCAGCTAGAAGCTCAGTAATACTTCCAGAAAGAAGCACTCAACCATATAAGGCTTCATTTAATAATGCATTTACTTGTCCATATGCTGCCCCGAGTTCAGACTTTCTATTAGTAGTGCCATCAAGTCCATAACAGAGGGACAAGCTAGTGGATGCATCCGGCAGTTAATAGCTGATTTTTTAGAATCATTGGAGTGGATGAAAACTACACCTATGCTTTCTGCTGAAACTGACCAAATAAAACAAGCTATAAGTTACTAATCCTACCCTCTTCTGTTACTAATCTTTCCCGTGAAGCTTTTCTGCAACTATAAGTTAATTGTTTCTACTTCCATTTCTCCTCAGAGAATCCTGTGGGACAGCTCTTAAGGAGAAACATTTACTTGACATGTCACACATGGAAGGTTTTGTAGATGAAAAGAACAAATATTTTTCAAAGCAACTTGCTGCTTTAAATGGTGTGTTCAGGAAAGCAGCAGAGGATGACACCCCAGATGATGTGAGTATTTTACCAATGTTTTTTCTTTCCCATCTCAATCTAATCCAATATGATCTTCAAGAAGATGCTATTTACCTTGCAAATGTTTATAAAACTTAAACCAGTTATAACCGTGATGTGGGATACTCAAACCACCCCACAAGTCCAGGCCAACCTGGACAATAGTAAAGTGAACAAATGGGCCCAAATCATCTTCAAACCGGCTGCCCAAGCCATTTCGTAGGTGGGTGCCTAAAAACAACCATTGCTCCAATCATGGTACCAGTGAAAGTATGCCCAGCTGACCCTAGAAGCATCCTCAAGATGCGACAGTTACAGTTATGGGCATGTGTAGGATATCAGTACTAGAATTATGAATGCAATTCATTAGTGTTATTAGTTTCATATTAGTAATCAGCAATACTAGTTTCTTATTAGTAATACATAGTAAGAAATACTAGTTTCTTATTATTAGAGTTCTTTTTAGTTGACATTGCTAATATATATGAATAATGTAATGCATTTAGCTTGTCCATATGCTGCCCCGAGTTCAGACTTTCGATTAGTAGTGCCATGAAGTCCATAACAGAGGGACAAGCTAGTGGATGCATCCGGCAGTTAATAGCTGATTTTTTAGAATCATTGGAGTGGATGAAAACTATACCTATGCTTCCTGCTGAAACTGACCAAATAAAACAAGCTATAAGTTACTAATCTACCCTCTTCTGTTACTAATCTATCCCGTGAAGCTTTTCTGCAACAATAAGTTAATTGTTTCTACTTACATTTCTCCTCAGAGAATCCTGTGAGACAGCTCTTAAGGAGAAACATTTACTTGACATGTCACACATGGAAGGTTTTATAGATGAAAAGAACAAATATTTTTCTAAGCAACTTGCTGCTTTAAATGGTGTGTTCAGGAAAGCAGCAGAGGATGACACCCCAGATGATGTGAGTATTTTACCAATGTTTTTTCTTGCCCATCTCAATCTAATCATATATGATCTTCAAGAAGATGCTATTTACCTTGCAAATGTTTATAAAACTTAAACCAGTTATAACCATGATGTGGGATACTCAAACCACCCCACAAGTCCAGGCCAACCTGGACAATAGTAAAGTGAACAAATGGGCCCAAATCATCTTCAAACCGGCTGCCCAAGCCTTTTAGTAGGTGGGTGCCTAAAAACAACCACTGCTCCAATCATGGTACCAGTGAAAGTATGCCCAGCTCACCCTAGAAGCATCCTCAAGATGCGACGGGTTACAGTTATGGGCATGTGTAGGATATCAGTACTAGAATTATGAATGCAATTCATTAGTGTTATTAGTTTCCTATTAGTAATCAGCACTACTAGTTTCTTATTAGTAATACGTAGTAAGAAATACTAGTTTCTTATTATTTGCGTTCTTTTTAGTTGACATTGCTAATATATATGAATAATGTAATGCATTTAGCTTGTCCATATGCTGGCCCGAGTTCAGACTTTCTATTAGTAGTGCCATCAAGTCCATAACAGAGGGACAAGCTAGTGGATGCATCCGGCAGTTAATAGCTGATTTTTTAGAATCATTGGAATGGATGAAAACTACACCTATGCTTCTTGCTGAAACTGACCAAATAAAACAAGCCATAAGTTGCTAATCTACCCTCTTCTGTTACTAATCTGTCCCGTGAAGGTTTTCTGCAACTATAAGTTAATTGTTTCTACTTCCATTTCTCCTCAGAGAATCCTGTGAGACAGCTCTTAAGGAGAAACATTTACTTGACATGTCACACATGGAAGGTTTTGTAGATGAAAAGAACAAATATTTTTCTATAGTTGTTCTTGAAGACTCTTGGTTAGTATATAGAGAGGTTCTATAATTCTATTAATTGATTACACCATTGAGGTTCTATTTAGGAGTTAGTTTCTGCGTCCCCAGCATGGCCAAATACTAAAATTCCTCCTAGCAGCAGCCCGATTCTGCTATGGGCGAGTAGTTCTTTATTTTCATGTAGCTTTCATTTTTTTTTCTGTTCCCAACCACACCTTATAAGACAATTAACTAAAGTGGGATATGCAACATTTTCAGGTGCCCGATTACTTATGTTGTAAGATAACACTTGACATTTTACGTGACCCTGTGGTCCCTGTGATTACTCCATGTGGGATCACGTATGAGCGGTCAAAGATCCTTGAACATTTGGAGAAGGTAATCATTCCTGACATATTGGATTCAAATATCTTACATATTCTGTTACTTTCTGTATATGATACATTGATCATATGTTTTGGAACAAGTGTAGGTGGGGGGATTTGATCTGATGACTTCAAGATCCCTATCTGCATCTCAGTTGGCTCCAAATTTGGCCATTAAAGAAGCAGTGCAGGCATTTTTGGATAAAAGTGGCTGGGCTTACCAGATAGATAACTATAGTTAACATTTTGGTGCATGGTAGATTCACATATCATTATGTCATTCATACAGTTTTGTTCAGTGTATATGTTTGGGCTCTTGTCTGTACAGTGATTACTGATTATGATGATGATATTTATGTACAACATATACTGCACACTTTTCTTTTTTTGCATACAGACCAGTAGTTGAGAGAGCTGAATGTATGCGAGGGCATTTGGTGTGCTAAAAATGGGCTCAGAGGCACATGACAGAATGGTTTGAGATCTTTTAAGAGTTAAGTGGCTAGATTTGTTGAATAAATTGAATAAATTTTACTGGGACGGGTTGGCTTGACCCGGGACCCGGCCTGACCCGATCTGGTTGACCGGGACCAAGCCTAGGGCCCAACCCGGATGAAGAAGCAAGCGGTACCGGGCTTTGATTTTAGTGGACTGGCCCGGCCGGACCGGTCCCGGTCCGGACCTAAAGGTTAAGAGTTCAAAAAAAGATTGGGCTTGGAATTGTTTGGCTCAACCCGAACCAATCCCGAAGCCCGCCAGGTAGCCTGGCCTGACCCGGTCCCGGTACAAACCCGGGCCAGTACCGGGTCTGATAATTTTGAGCCCGGAGCCCGGTCCATTCGCGGCCCAGTCAACCCATATGTATATGCTCTACAATTTTAAATTTGATAAACGAAAGAACAATAATCATAATATGGAGTATCTAAAAGGTCATAGTCGTAGGATACTAGGATGGTGTGGCTAGTGGTGGACCTGGTTTGGGCCACCCGGCCCGTGAACCGGCCCGGCCCGCTACTGTGTGGGCCCGGGACCAGCCCAGTCTGGCGGTCCGGGACCGGGTGGTGACCCGAACCGGTGGGATAGCGGGGGGCGGGAATGGGTAGGGCAAATGGGGACCCGGCCAGGCCGGCCTGGACCTGTTTCGGGCCCAATTCCTTGTTTTTTTCTCATTATTTTTGGGTTTCCATCGGATTGGGCTGGGTGTTTTGGGGGGGGGGGGGGGGGGGTTTGGGGGTGAGGGGTAGTTAGGAAAGCAAAAAAAAAAAAATACATTCGACCCGACCCGGCCCGGACCCGGTGGATACCCAGGTCAGTCCCGGGTCTACCCATTAAAACTCAAAGGCTCGCCGGGCCTAAGCCCGGCCCGGGTCCATACCTGGGTGTGGCCTTTTTTTTAATCTAAATATGGTCTCCGAGAATGACAATTGTACATATCAGTATCAACCAAGTGCTGTTTTAGTAGTAGACCAGTTTTTACTTACAAAATAAATTAGGGAAAATTCCCGAAATAGGAGTAAATAAGTTTGAAAATTCCAAAATAGGACTGTCATGTTTTTATTCCCAAAATAGGAGTAATTGTTGCCAGATTTGAAAAATACTGTCATCTTTAAAGTCTGATACTGCCAAAACATGGCAGTGATTAGTCCTATTTTGGGAATAAAAACATGATAATCATATTTTGGGAATACAAACGTTTTTAGTCGTATTTAGAGTAATTTCTCAATAAAATTAATGTATAGGAGAATTGAACAAAAACCGGTTGGTTTGATTTCATTTTGGTAGATCACGAAACTGGACAGTACTTATTTGTCGTCGATCTTGTATGTTGTTTGTTGAAGAATAGGAAAAAGGTACATATATACCCCTATAGTATAGGTGTAGGAACAAATATATCCTTGTTCTATTTTTCGGAACAAATATACCCCTTAACTTTGAAAAAAGTGCAAAAATATCTTTCATGTTCTTATAAAGGAGCAAATTAATCCTTATCGACTTAAAATTAATAAAATAAATTTCAAAAAACACCATAAAATTAAAAATTCGAAATTAAAATATAAAAAAATTAAAAAATGTAATTGTGTCCAATTCTCCCTTTTCGTTTTTGTATCACAATTAAATATTTTTAGTATATAAATTCACTATTTTGTAATTTTTGGGCTATTTATCATCATACAAAATATGTAATTTTATAGTGCAAAAAATGTAAAATTATTTTTTTTTACATTGCAATACATATGCTAGCACATTTTCGATAGAATCTTAAATATATAGTAAAATTTTGAAATAATATTTTATACTAAAAATATTAAATTTTTGGTATAAGTCAATTTAAATTTAGGTTAGTTTGATTGGTTTTTGCTCCGATTGAAAGTCTGAAATAAGTCAGGAAGTCTAACCTCAAACCCAAAGAATAAATTTATGGAGTAAGTTTGACAGATAGAATTGGACTTGGGTACACACTTTTACGCATGTCTGTGTATGTTTTTTTTGTTCTGCACAGACAAAACATATTTTGTCAAAATACGAAAAAAGCCTACACAGACATGCGTAAAAGTGTCTACACAAAAAAAATGCGTACCTTTTTCTGACAGATAACACAAGTTGCCACTTGCTACATACTACTATTAGCAGTATAGTACTATAGTACGACTGTACAAGTACTAGTACATAAAGGTGGACCCGGTCCCGGGGTCGGCCCGAATCGGACCCGACCGATTGTCGGGCTAGATCAGTAACAGAAGGGGTGGTTCAGATATGGGACTGGACCTGGGGGAGGGTCATGAGGAGCGGTCCTAACTCTAGTTTATCGGATAGAGATTAGCGGCATGTCCGGTGCAATCACTTTTATGCATTTCAACCATTGTAGGTTTGTAACTTGTAAGCATTGTAAGAGGTGTAAATCTGCTTCAAATAAAAAAAAAAGAGATGTAACCGTAAACCGTGTAAATAAATTTAAAAGGTGAAAAATGGTGTGAAGAGGTGGAAGGGTTCAAACTTCAAAGTATAAAACACTTAAAAGACTGAGACCGGGACGGCTCGATCGGAGGAATGGTACAGGTATTGTTTGGTAGCGGCCTGGCCCAGTACCGGAACAAATACTACAAAAAAAACGGGATCGGCACGGATACCGGGTCAGTACCGAGCTTTAAGTATATGAAACCGGTACAAGCCGGGATGGGCTCGGCCCGGCCCGATTCCACCCCAAGGAAGTTGCTCGAAATTTCCGTAGATAAGCCATGCTCAATAACACAATAAATATATAACATACTCCTGCATGACATATTATACGTAGTATATTTCACATAACCAATTAACTTCTATATATTCTACTGCTCTATTCCATTCTAGCTAACACAATTCTTGTGCAGCACGCGTGCGGAAAACGTCTCCAACAGGACTTTCAAATCCTGTATTTTATACAAAAACAATAACATTAACTAACTGTTCAAGATAATAAAAACAACAAAAAGTATATAGTTATGCATCTTGCATACTAGAAGAGGATGAGAGACATAAAATTTTATAACGAACTGATATTTTTTTTCCAATAACGATAAAGGCAGGACTAAAATAAATACTGAATATAATGTAGAGAGTAATATTTTGTACTTTTTTGATATTTTATTGATAGAGATAATTTTAAATGAACATTATATATATTAAATAATTATCTCTTGTATTTTATTTAATTGTGTAAATATAATCTTGTACTTAGTTGATATATAATAGAAGTCTAGAACTCTCAATTGCACAAATATAATAGTCACAATAATTTATTATATCAAATAAAATTAATCAGTTTTATCAAGAAAATATATCCTTTTTAAGATCTTTTCAAATAACTAAAAGAGTGAACTACCCAAATATGACAAAAAAAGGGGCCAAAGAGCACAAATAGGATTACATCTTTTAAATTCCCCTCAGTAGGACTATTTATGTGTGTTTGGACAAATATACCCTTGTAGCTTTTGAAATGTTTTAATTAATAATAAAATCATAAAAAATAATCCATAATAAAAAAATGAAAGAAAATAATAATTGTTGGTAGAAAATAACCCAGGTAGAGAATTTGGCAGCATTTCAGTATAGTGAGAATAGCTTAGTCGAATACAAGGGGTTGGTGGCCTATTTATAGACATACACAATAGCCCACCAATTAAGTGTAACATGGGCTTGGCCCGATTTATCCACTAACACTCACGCTAATGGGCCGGCCAACCCGATAAGTAATTAAATAATCCCGGACCAATATCCGCTAGCCGGGCTGTGTTCTGAGCTTGGTCGGGCCAAAGCTTGGGCGTAACGGGCCAATAGTCTTGGACCCGGCCCATTATCCCAACACAAGTCCCCACTCCCTTAGTCGAGTAGTAGACTCGGCTAAAAGGGAGTAGTTAAGCTGTTTTTGGATTGGTCCGGTTTTTGGTCCGGTCGGCCGGTCATTATCGAGCCTTGAATTTGATCCCATTGCTTGTGAAAGGATGGACTCTTCTTTGCTCCGACCAGGGACCTCTTCCTTTGTTCATGATGATGGAGTACCTCATTAAAACCTTACTAGGAAAAACCCAATGGGAAAAAATCCTAGTGAAGGAAAAAGAGTGCACTAGAACCTTAAAATAAAGCAAAGAAAGGTCAATCCCCTCGGTTCTTGGTTGAGTGCCTGCTTTACTGGTAAGCCGAGATATGTTCCGAAAAGACCAGTCACACGGTTGTTTGTCAGTGGTGTCGGTCGAGCCAGGGTATGCTCGGGAGAGACCACCTAGCAACTTTGTTTGTTGATGGTGTTGAGCTGAGATATGCTTGGAGAAGGCGGGTCGCAATTGTACACTTGTACGCTGAGGATGGCGATCCGGGGTATCCGATCCGAATAATGATGACGGGGAAGAAATGAGCCAGTCATCATGTAGAGGCGACAGTCACCATCCAGGAAGGGATGGCGAGACCGGTCGCTAGATCAAGACTTCGGCGCTGAGGAGCCGGTCTTTGATATATAGCATCACATTGAGGCTGAGGGGGCCGATCGTGATGTATGGGCATCAGCACTGGAGGGCCGATCTAAAGATCCAAGCAACGGTCGCCATCCGGGAAGGGATGACTGAGACCGGTCTTGAGAGTATGACGACCACGTTGAGACCAAGGGGCCTGCCGTGTCGATATATAAAAGATCACGTTGAGACCGAGGGGTCTGCCGTGATGCAAGGACGTCGGCACTGAGGGGCCGGTCCAGAAATCCACGCAACGGTCCTCATCCATGAAGTGAGAGGATGAGACCGGTCTTCAGATAAATGATCACGTTGAGACCGAGGGGTCTGCCGTGAGGCAAGGACATCGGCACTGAGGGGTCAGTCCGGCAATCCACACAACGGTCCTCATCCATGAAGTGAGAGGATGAGACCGATCTTCAGATAAATGATCACGTTGAGACCGACGGGTCTGCCGTGAGGCAAGGACATCGGCACTGAGGGGTCAGTCC